GGTGGACTTAGAAGAGGAAGAAGAAGAACTCTCTCTCTCTCTCTCTCTCTCTCTCTCTCTCTCTCTCTCTCTCTCTCTCTCTCTCTCTCTTAGTCCGGTACTAACCTGTGAAGTTGGCACCTTGATGCAGGTACCTGAGAGATGAAGTTGGAGCTATGGCGCCACAGGTAAGTCTCCCTGGCCTGCGCCACCCATCTCTCTCTCCAACACTACTGTACTCCTACCAGCGCCCGTCGCTGAAGACTACTACTACAGCTACTAGCGCCCAGCGCTGAAGACTACTGCTAGCGCTAAAGCTGCTCTTGCAGCGCTCCTCTAGAGTGCTGCTGCCGAATCCTGAAGACTACTCCTGCCTTCTGCCTACCCGTGAAGTGCATGGGAACTCCCTATGTACTACCTCGGCCTGCCTCCTGACTGCCTCCGACTGCCTGCAATTGCAGGACGGGGCAGTCCAGGAGGCTGCTCTTGCCAATGCCAAAGTGAGCCAGGGTCTGGCGCTGCAGCTCCTGTTGAGGCTGTCGTGGGAACAAGCCAAAAATAGCCTGTTCCTAAAACCTTGGTTTGGTGCCTGAGTGTCAAGGCAGGTCGATCTTACGAGGGCCCGAAAATGGCCCTCCGTTTCATGTTGAAAAGACTCCAGGCCTAGAAGGCCCTGTTTTAGACTGAAACGACATAGGGCCTGAAGGCCCTCGTTTTCAGGCTTTCAGGCTGAAACGACACAGGGCCTGTAAGCCCTTGTTTTCAGGCTTTTAGGCTGAGAACGCTGGTCGGGCCCTGCAGGCCCGTGTGGCTGCGCAGTATGCCACACCCCCCCCTCCTTGAAAGACCGAGCTTACCTGTGAGGGGGAAGCTGTCTGTCTGAGAGAGGGACCACAGTCCGGGTGGGAGGGGCAGGTCATGAAGTTCCCTGAGCTAATCTTTGTCGCTTGTAGTGAGCGTAGATCAGCGGTGCGGATGCTTTCAAATCTGCTCCTGAAATCCATCGAGTGTCGTCGGGATCGCACGCTTTGAATGTAACTTTGTACTGTCGAGGCTTGCTGCCGTACTTGCGATCCGTGATGACTCGGTCAACTTCCTGATGACCATCCATAGATGGAGGATCTTGCGATCGTCAGCCCGGGAAGTTGTCGCTCTTAGCTGGTGTATATGTCACCAGCTTCAAGGCGTGAAAGACTGGATGGACCGTTAGATGCGGGGGAATGTTGATCACAAATGAGGGGCCATCGGGCTCATCGCCTGTGGCTGATGTTACGGGCCATGGTCCAAACCACTTGGGGAGTAGTTTGCACGAAACATCCTGCTCGAGTGCAAACTCTTCTGCGGAGACCCAAACCAGATCACCGGCACGGATGGGACATGGCACGCGACGCTTGTTGGCTTGCTGCTGCGTGCGAACTTGAGCCTTTTGCATGCTCGTGCGGGCTTGAGCCAACAATTCCCTGTCCTTCCGAACGGAAGCGGGGGAGCAAGCAGTGGCTATGTCGGCTGGTCGTGGGAGGAGAAGATCAACGAAGATACGGCCTTTCCGGCCACCGTGGTGCAACTCGAATGGAGTCACACCGATCGTCGGGTGCAACGAAGTGTTGTAGGCGAACTCGATGTCGGGAAGGCGGTCAACCCAATATTTCTGATCCGGACGGATGAGTGTACGAAGCATCATTTGAGCGGTTTGATGTGCCCGCTCCGTTTGCCCGTCCGTTTGTGGATGCCGAGCCGAACTTGGTTTCATCTTTGTGCCGGATTCCTGCATGAGAGAAGTCCAAAATGCCGACATGAAGCGAGTATCGCGGTCGCTGACGATGTCTTCCGGTATGCCGTGGCTGCAATTCCAGCCGGTGTGCAAGAAGCGCGCAAGTTCGGGAGCCGTGGAGTAGTACTTGCAAGGGAGAAACAGCGCGTACTTACTCAAACGGTCAACGACCGTGAGGATGCCGTCGTGCCCGAGGCGGTCGCGGGGAAACGGTCCGGTGACGTCCATGGCAATGGAGAGGCCAGGTTCCTGTGGTATAGGCATCGGGCGCAACTCGCCATAGGGATTGCTGTTGTGGGGCTTGCTTCGTCGGCAAACTTCGCAAGAGTCGCAATACCGAGTGACATCAGTAATGAGGTCGGGCCATCGGAATCGTTGCCGAAGTCGTGCAATAGTGCGATTGACTCCGAAATGGCCGGCGAGTCACGAGTCATGGTACTCGCCGAGAAGGCGAGTCCGAAGACGACGGTCTCGTGGGACACATAATAAGTCCTTGCCTCGCAAGTGGAGGAGCAAGTACCCGTCGACGATGCGATAGTGGCTGGCCGACGGGTGATCCGAAGATAGATGCGCATATAACGTGGCGAAATCCGGATCGGACTCATAGCCCCGGATGAAGTGTCGCCGGAGTTCCTCGTCGAACGCGAAGGCATGATGGTCATAGCGCAAAGATCGGGTCTTCGTGAGAATGCACCTGCTGCGCGATTGGAGAGGCCGGCGAGATGTTTCGGTGTGAAGTCGAATTGGTCGATGAAGTACATCCATCGTCCGATCGTGCTGCTAACCGTATCCTGTGTCTTGTAGTAGGTCAATGGGTTGTTGTCCGTGACCCATGTGAACCTACGACGCCCAAGGAGGAAGTGCCGCCATCGCTTGAGAGCCATCACGAACGCGAGCAGCTCCTTCTTCCTTGCATCATCAAGTGAATTGATGGGAGGCACTTTGTGGCTGAAATACTCCGCGGGGTGCCAGTTGTCGCCGTCATGTTGTTCCAAGACTGCCCCGATGCCATAGCCGGAAGCGCCAGTTGTCACTCTCGTTGGCAGAGTGGGGTCGTAGATGCTAAGGACGGGTGCCATAAGCATGGCCGTCTTGAGTGCTTGGAATGACCGGCGTGCGTCGTCATCGAATACGAATGGCACCTTTGGTGATTGTAATCTCGTCATAGGTGTGACAATCCTTGAGTACCCGGTGATGAAGCGTTGATAGTAGCCCGCCAACTCCATGAATGAGCAAACGTCCGTGATGTTTGTGGGCTCGGGCCATACGCGGATGACCTCGATCTTGTCCGCAAGCGGACGGATGCCTTGCGGCGTCACGTAATGTCCCAAGTACTTCAGCTCTTGCTGCGCGAATTCGCATTTGTCACGGTTGGCTTTGTACTTGGCTTGTCGTAGCCGCTCAAAAACGGTGCGTAGGTGCTCCGCACGCTCGTCCAAACTCTGGCTGTAAACCAAGATGTCGTTGAGGTAGATGAGTACGAATCTATCCAGCATGTGTTGGAACTCCGTTGTCATAGCCGCTTGGAATGTGGTCGGGGCATTCGTAAGGCCAAAAGGCATAACCAGCCATTCGAAATGCCCGTATCGCGTCTTAAACACGGTATTGTAGCGGTCCTCGTGCCGGATCTCGAGTTGGTGATATCCTAATTTGATGTCAAGCTTGGAGAAGAACTTGGCGCTGCCCAGCCATTCGAGGAGGTCGTCGATGCGCAAAAGAGGGCCGGCGTTCTTGACGGTTTGTGCGTTGAGCTTGCGATAATCGATGCACAACCGCAAATCCTTGTTCTTCTTCCAGACGAAGAGAACGGGAGCACCGTATGGCGAAGAGCTAGGCCGAATCCAGCCTTTCTCGAGAAGGTCGTCGAGTTGTCCACAGGGAAAAATAAAAAACGACTGCACAGCACCTGAAAGTTCACCACAGCACGTTGTTGTCCGAATACACACACACACACACACGGGTGGCAGTGTATATTTCCATGTTCCAGCGGTAGATTCATTTAATGTTGTGCATCCTATTGATGGAAGTACCATGAGCTCAGCAGCGAGGTTGGAGACTTACCTGTTCTCTCTCTCTCTCTCTCTCTCTCTCTCTCTCTCTCTCTCTCTCTCTCTCTCTCTCTCTCTCTCTCT